TATAACGCTCAACAGAAATTTTAACCAAATAACAAAAGTACAAAACTTTACCTAACGTAGTGTCAGGATTCAACCCAGTAATATTTCTAGCAACGTCAATTGGATCAACATTTGCAAGACTGTACACAGGAAAAGGAGCAGGCTATTATAAATCCATGCTTAATCATCATTTGTATGCACCCATTGCACAAAGGTAATTATGCAGGGTCCTTCTTCCCCTAAAAGCATGCGGCATCTTGTAATTGTAGTTACGCTATCATGACTAAGTTTGTTGGACAGCAAACCAAAATCTATAGACTTAATTTTAGAATATCAAGAGCCTTGTAGGAGACTCATTATGAGATAGGCACTTTCACGCAGGCTATATGTGGCTACATGGGCAATGCCTTCTGTAAAGTTTACACCTTTATAATCCTCACACCCCCTAGCACAAAATTTCTTGAAACATGACATAATCCACTTTTAATACATAGAAATGGGGGGGGGGGCAAAAGCTCTACTTTCTGTAAGATAACTGCCGCCTACACAACCATGAGCAATGCTTGATAACATTTCACCTAAATTCAATTGTAACGAGCTAGACATGCAGCTAAGAGTTACTGCGAGATTAAGATCACCACTACATTGTCATGCAGGGCGAAAACTTAAAAGACCTATGTAAAATCCAACTACTTTGGTGACATAAAAGGTCCTCTCTATTTCACTGATGCAATCCACCAAAAGAGAAAATAGTGCCAGAGACAGAATCTGTACTTACAAGCGCAGTTGGCGTCCTCTTGCAAATTCAGAAGCCTCTGGATCTGGAAAATTTCAAAGAGTTAACCACACAACATTTATAAACACACATAACCAATTTGATCAGGAAACAAGTACAAAAATACAGTGAAAGTGATAGTATTATACAGCAGAAGATTGGAACACATAGTGTCAACCTGTTTGAAGAGCTGTATGCACAAAAAGAGGACCTAAGAAGCTGCCACCTATACCAATAGCTACAACATCCTTCAGTGGTTTTCCTGTAGCTCCAACCTAACAACAGGCATCCACTAGTTACAACTTACACTCACACTTATACGATGAATGCTTAATTAACTGATATTAACAACCAAACCTTACCCAGGAACCACTGCGCACCCTCTCAGAGAATTCCCTGATCTTGTCCAGAACTTGCCAAACATCTGGGACCGTATTCTTTCCATTGCAGTTTATAACTGCATCCCTTGGAGCACGGAGAGCTACATGAAGGACACACCTGTTCTCCGTGCTGTTTATCTGAAGGTGCCATTGAAAACAATGATGAAGGATTTAACTAGTAGTTCAGTTTGTGCAAGTCATGTTTGATTAGAAGAAGAAAGTTAAACATACTCACCCGCTCCCCGTCAAACATCCTGTTAATTTTTCCTTTGAGACCAGCTGCCTGCATTAGGATACATGGAAGCACGATTTTTAAAAAATGTATTCTGACATTACCCCAGAAGAAAGAGAAAGTAAATTGTTCAACGCACCTCTGCCAATTTGAATAGCTTATCCATTGTTTCAAGGGTAGCACATTGCCGTGAGTAGTCCAATAGTATCCCATCGAATTCACTGCAAATCAGCTATTGGGATTACAATGCAGAATATACAATTCAGTGCTTATTACAGACCATAAAGGTGAAATCCATCTAAAGAACAGATAAGAACAAGATGACTTTAACAAGTTCAGCAGAGTATCATACACCATCATGGAGTTGCATCGCTCAGTGTCGCTCATCAATTCACGTAAATGTGTCTTTTTAATGTCGTCGACATGGGCCTGAACAGAGATACAAGTTTCACATGATAACCATATTCTGGATTCCTTATAAACTTCTATGATCAACACAAGTTACCTTCAAGTCCTTCCATTGCTCCGTGTCACAGATAAGAGTAGATGAAGCCATCTGCAGTAATTTCAACAGTAATTCAAAATCACTCTTTAGCCCAAACCATATCAACCATAAATCACACATGAACTTTGTATTGCAAACCCTCAACAATCCGCCAACACTGTAATGTACTCCTAAAACAGCTACCCAATGTACGAGGTTCCACTACAGTCGGGTCCGGGGAATTAGACGTACGCAGCCAAACCCACCAAAGCGGAGAGCCTGTTTCCGTGACTCAAATCCGTGACCGCCAGGTCACATAGGGTAAACTTACTGTTGCACCCAGGCTGCCCCTCTAACAGAGTAATATACTCCTTTTTATTCTTTCTTATTATGGTGACAATATTTTTGCTGTTTAGAGCCCAAAAGAAACAAAGAACATAATTGAGCAATGACTGAACATAATTATTATCCGACTGCATCAAGCTAAGATGACCCCTTTTTCACTATATATCACATAACTTTCTCGGCATCTAAACAAAGGGTCCCACAATGAATGGTACTCATCTCATCTACTGTCAATTCACGCTTACCAACGAATCCAACCCAGTGTTAACCTCTAATCGCACAACAAATCTCAAACACGAGCTCCACAAATAACAAAAGATAAAAAAACAAATCTTTAGATCAACTGAACTTCTATTGGCATATTTCCGAATTACCAAAAAAAAAAAAACTTCTATTGGAAGAGCGAGAGACCTCAGAGAAAGCAGCGCAACAATTCTTGAGCGAAACGGATACAAATCACAAAGAAGAAGGCAACAGAGAGAGAGAGTCTTTGGCGTTGAGCTCGTACCTGTAGATGATTTGTGAGGGAAATTGGTCAGTGGGTTTCCACAAAATTTGTGTAGTGAAGAACTGAAGATGATGATGGATTAGGAAATAGAAGATCCTATGAAAGATATATTACCGAAAGTGGCCAAAAGAGAGAAATTACGTGCGAAGTGGGTTAGATTCGAGTCACGTGTCGGGAGGGATGGGAGCCGGATCATGGGGGAACATATTCCTTTTCGAGGGTCCTATCAGGAAAAAAGAGAGGCCACGAGAAGGAAAAATAGGATATTCCGTTGCCGGGAATCGAACCCGGGTCTCCTGGGTGAAAGCCAGATATCCTAACCGCTGGACGACAACGGAGCTCGCTGAGCCTTTCTTGGAGAAAAAGTAATTTATACCTAAGATTGCTACACACACCATAACACCCATACGAATGTACAAAAATACTAACCCTCGTGTGGAACGTGATTGATGTGTAACTGAGCTCGTGAAAAAACTCAAATAAGAATCAACATACATGACGTTTTTATCGGCATGGGTGAAAATGCGAGGATGCTGCTGTAAACCCGTCGCATGTGTCAATGTTTGATTGAATAATTTTAACGAGTTGACAATTTTGTTAAAGTTTAACTCATCTGTCTTTGTTTATCTTAATTAGCTACTAAACTACCCCTAATTGGACCTAATTTAGAGACTTTTTGTTGTTGTGTGATTTTTGGTTCCTTTTTATAAATTCTTATAATTTTCACATTCCATTGTTCTGCTTGAGAGAGGAATCAGAAAAGAACAAAGATATTGACGAAAGTTTAAATTTTTTTATATTAAATGACAAAAACACACAAAAAGATAATATTTTAACTTTGGTACATATTTTTTTTTGGGGCTTTAGACAATTTTTTGAAGTCTTTTTCATCGTTTTGTATAAGTTTTTTTCAACTTTGGTTCATATCTTTATACTTTTTCAATTCCTTTCTTCAAGATGAAAATATAAAATAAATTTTTTTAATTGTGTCTTGAAAGATTAAGAGAAAATAACCATTTAATTCCTTTAAAAAAAAAGTCAAAAAATTTTGGCCAAAGGGGCCTAGCTTACAATTGTTTCAAAAATCAAGGAAAGTTAAAATTTTTCCTCCCAATTATTTGGATTGAAGAGAAAGAGGAGAGAAATGTTTGGATTGAAGAGAAAGAGGAGAGAAAATTTAATTCAAGTTTTAGGAATAGTAAATTTTCCTCTCATTTTCTTTTTCCAATCATTATCCTATTTCTCCAATTATTACTTTCTCATCTCTCTCTATCTCTCTCCAATTATTACTCTTATTTTCAATCATTATCCTATTTCTCTCTCCACCCACTACCAAAACTAAACTAAACTAAACTCTCAACCAAACATAGCCAAAATTTTTCCTCCCAATTATTTGGATCGAAGAGAAAGAGGAGAGAAATGTTTGGATTGAAGAGAAAGAGGAGAGAAAATTTAATTCAAGTTTTAGGAATAGTAAATTTTCCTCTCATTTCCTTACCCTCACCTTCCATCACTTTCCTTAAAAACCAAACAAAGCCTGAGTGCGAGAGTACGAGGTTCATTTTGGATATGATTTTCGCGGTTGTGTTTCAGAAATTGGTTCTTTCTGTTTCCCGTTTCTGCATTGTCTACAGTCGATCATCGGATAAAGATAAAGTTAAACCCCTCACTTGCATCACCAGGTACGCTTTACAATGTTCTATGAATTTACTCCCAAACGTTATATACATCTGACTCGTTTGATTCCTTCTTTGTTCGGTAGAATGATTCATCGATCGCCAATCGCCATACTAAGTTGGGGTGATAGCTTAGTTTCACTTATTATTTTTGTCAGTCTAGCTAATCTATAATTGCAGATTGTCATTCGCTGCTTATTACAAATTCCATAAGAAGCTTTAGCAGTATCTCACACAATGCATTATTGATCTTAATGATCATAGGAGGTAATTATTCCTCCAGTTTTTTTCCGAATTACCCCAAAAAAAAAAAAAAACTTCTATTGGAAGAACGAGAGACCTCAGAGAAAGCAGCGCAACAATTCTGAGAGAGAGAGAGAGAGAGAGTCTTTGGCGTTGAGCTCGTACCTGTAGATGATTTGTGAGGGAAATTGGTCAGTGGGTCTCGACAGAATTTGTATCGTGAAGAACTGAAGATGATGATGGATTAGGAAATAGAAGATCCTATTCAGATTTATTCAGAGAGAGAGAGTCCTTGCAATTAGAATTTTCGTTAAGGAACCAATTAGAATTTTCGTTAGGCAAAAAAGGGAGGAGGCGAAGGGAAGGGAAAAACGGGAATTCCGCCGCCGGGACTCGAACCCGGGTCTCCTGGGATCTCAGGCGGAAACCAGGTGTCCTAACCGCTGGACGACAGCAGAGCTTGTAGAGCCTTTCGTGGAGAAAAAGTTATTTAAACATAAGATTACTACACATGCACACCGTAACACCCATACGAATGTACAAAAATAACATGGGAAAATGACAGTTAATGACGTGTTTTGATAATTAATACCAGTTAAAGACATTTTCAACATCAACAAATGTTCTTAGCGTGTTCTTAGCGGATATTAATTATCAAAACACCTCTTGGACCGTCATTTTCCCAAATAACATTCGTGGAATGTGATTGATGTAGAATTGAGCTCGTGAAAAAACTCAAATAAGAATCAACGTACATGACGTCTTTATTCGCATGGGTGAAAATGCGAGGATGCCTCCATAAACCGTCTCATGTGTCAGTGTCCGATCGAATAATTTTAATGAGTTTACAATTTTGTTATAGTTTAACTCGTCTGTTTTTATTTATCTTAATTAGCTAGTAAACTATCCCTACTTGGACATAACTTTTTAGAGACTTTTTGTTGTGTGATTTTTGGTTCCTTTTTCTTAATTCTTATAATTTTCACATTCCATTGTTCAGCTTGATAGAGGAATCGGAAAAGAACAAAGATATTGACGAAAGTTGAAATTTTGTTATATTAAACGACTAAAAACACACAAAAAGATAATATTTTAACTTTGGTCCATATCTTTTTGGATATTTAGACAATCTTTTGAAGTCTTTTTCGTCGTCTTGTATAAGTTTTTTCAACTTTTGTTCATAGTTTTATAATTTTTCAATTCCTCTCGTCGAGATGAAAATATGAAATAATTTTTTTAACCGTTTCTTGAAGATTAAGAGAAAATAACCATTTAATTCCTTTAAAAAAAAAAAGTCAAAAAAATTAGGCCAATGGGGGCGTAGCTTACAATTGTTTCAAAAATCAAGGGTGGAATATGAAACTCCAATGTTTGGAACGTAGAGCAAGGGAGGAAAGAAAGGAAAGTGAAAAATTTTCCTTCTAATTATTTGGATTCTAGAGAAAGAGGAGAGAAAATTTAATTCAAGTTTAAAGAAAAAAAAATTTTAATTTTTTCCCTTATTTTCTTTTACCCAAAAATTTTGAAAAAAAAATTAAGGTTTAGGTTCATTTTGGAAAAGAATTTTCGGGTTTTTTGAAATTGGTTCCTCTTTTTTCCTTTTCTCGCGACTCAAAATCCTGTGTTTTTTACAGGATCACTTTTGCAGGAAAGTAATTCCTGCAGGAAAACTTAAATTGGTAAGTCCTAGAATTTTCCTGCCAACTGAACACTAGGAAAATTATGAGAAAATTGATTTCTCATCCTTTCTTGTACTTTCCTGGCAACTGAACGGGGCCTAATTATTTGGATTCTAGAGAAAGAGGAGAGAAAATTTAATTCAAGTTTTAGAAATAATAAAATTTCTCTCCAATTTCCCCCCAATTTCCCTCTCATTTTCTTTCCCTCACCTTCCATCACTTTCCCTGAAAACCAAACAAAGCCTGACTACGAGAGTACGAGGTTCATTTTGGATATGATTTTCGCGGTTGTGTTTCAGAAATTGGTTCTTTCTGTTTCCCGTTTCTGCATTGTCTACAGTCGATCATCGGATAATGATAAAGTTAAACCCCTCACTTCCATCACCAGGTACGCTTTACGATGTTCTATGTATTTACTCCCAAACGTTATATGCATCTGAATCGTTTGATTCCTTCTTTGTTCGGTAGAATGATTCATCGATCGCCGATCGCCAATCGCCATACTAAGTTGGGGTGATAGCTTTAGTTTCACTTATTATTTTTGTCAGTCTAGCTAATCTATAATTGCAGATTTTCATTCGCTGCTTATTACAAATTCCATAAGAAGCTTTAGCAGTATCTCACACAATGCATTATTCATCTTAATGATCATAGGAGGTAATTATTCCTCCAGTTTTTTCCTCAGTGACTCTATCACGACACGACGAATGGTTCAAGCTTTCGAAAATCATGCGATAAGCGAAAATGGATTTGGCATGTGGTAACATATGGGATTACAATTTACAACAGACACGTGAGATTGCGAAGCATGAATATTAACTTTTGATTTCATGTTGCGAAACCGTGTCGAGCTATGTGAATTTTGCTTTACGTGTGTGGAAGTTATCAAACGAGTGTCACTCAGATTACAAACACTGCTTATTATTGTTGTTGTTGCTGCTTATTATTCTTCAGTCAAATAAAACAACACTCAGATCAAGCAGATCTTTCATGACCTCATCTATCACTCCGTTGAGTAAATACTTCTCCACATCCCTTACGAGCTCGTCTTTCTCAAGAATCGCGAACATCATCTCGTGCCAACCCAAGTCCCACATACCGTTCACATCTGCATCTCTATTTTGAACATCTCTCGTGAGCATTTTTCGCTGGTGCTCTGCTTCTTTATATCCATCACACCCGTTCACGTCGTCGAATTTCAACTTTCCCAAGTCCTTGTATATTTGCTTCACCAAGTCGTCCAGAGATGTTACCTTCATGGAGATGATTGATATGTTGAGGTGGGGATGAACAGCGAGCTCCTGTCTTCGTCCTTTCCTTTTCATTATTTCGAACCCACAGTCTAATACAAGGTTGCTGTCTTCATCTTGACTGCTATATTCAGTGACAGGAAGGACGTCAAAGGGTATGTTCAGTTTGAACAGTGCCTCTGCCGTGTTCAGGAAAATTTGACTTTTGATCAATATCTTCTTGAGATTTATTTCGTTTTCCGTCAGGTTCTCTTGTGGTCGTGGTGTTGGAATATCCTTCTGTTCATGCAGTGGAAGGCAAGTGATTTCGGTGTTTCCTCCATCAACTCCTGCAACATAAAAAAGACGAGGTTCAATTACTTCAACTACTAATCTTCTGCAACCCGAAGTTCTGATTAATATGCAAATGCCATATTTGACTAGAACCAGGAAGCTGAGATCCAGGCAAAGAAGGATGGCGATTTCTTCTTCTTCTTTTTTGTGTGCCAAATGTCATATTTGACTGAAACCTGGACGATGGATTTAGGCAAAGAAGGATGGAGAAGTGATATGTGTTATTGAAATAAGGATTCTTCCACAGGTGTTGAGGTGTCTATTACGTCATGGAGGTGACTTTTTTTTTTTGCCTGAACATTTAGGGGACAAAACCACTTTAGCAGCCGGGTTGTGCCTTTGGCCCATCTCAAGTCCCTGTGACTTGACACCCAAACCTGAGGTACTGAGGACCCCAATCTCCTGTAATGGGCAAAGAGCAAGGACTTTGGCATTTGCCAAGAGGTGGCCCCTAGGATAACATCTCAAGAGTCTAGCCATCCATCCAACCTCCCGGGGTTTATGGCAGGCATAGTGATTTTGAGGTGGGCTTATATATAGAGGTTGTTAGGAGTGCGTTTTTTTGACAAACATAAATCAGTAAACAGGCTGAAATGTTTCCATAATGCAGGGAATTGGTATCTTGCTTCAGGACGAACTCTTAGGAGGATGAGTTAGATCTTGCCATTCAGGGAGGTTGACAAAGTCTTTTTTCATTTCCTTCTTATGCCCTTTGGTTGAAAATGAATTGTTGGTTTCATCTTCAGGAGGGTGGAACTTAATTTGGATTGCAATGTTGGACATTTGAACTTACCTGTAAGTGGACTTGATGCAGTTTCCAGAGACTTCTGTTCATGACCCTCGATGAAAACAGGTGCTTGGTATTGGCTATCAATAGGTACTGCAGATAGTGCTGAGGGTTTGCTTTGGCACTGCATACATCCAGTAAATATAATTATGCCAACTTTTATAAATATTCATTTCTAGGGAAAATGTGGTGTGATTTTGCACAATAGTTATACTACACTTGATATAGTGGGATGACTTGAATGGCTGTATTTGCGTTGTTTTGGTTTTCCGTTTCTTGGTTGCTGCATTATTTCCTTTTTCTTTCCCTTGTATTTCGCGCAGCGCGCGTGCACATACACTCACAGAGAGAGAGAGAGAGAGAGAGAGAGAGAGAGAGAGAGAGAGAGAGAGAGAGAGAGACTTGTATGGTGCAATTGTTGCAAAAAAAATGCATAAACTTACAGTTTCACTTGGAATAGGGAACTGTGTTATGCTTTGCATGTGGAGCTCATCTGCCTCAGAACTGTACAAATTTGGAGCCTGTTCGCCTTCTTTATTCTGTGATAGTGCCACATTCTGCAAATCAATACTTGCTTCTGATTCCCTGGGACGGAGGTTCTGTGCTGTTGCTTCTTTGGAGAAGCTGCTACTCACCTGTTCTGTTCCTTTTGAACTGCTGGTCTTTTCAAGCCTCTTCTGCTTCATTCCATGCAATATCGGAATCTGATGCTTGAGAGGCCTTGAGTTACGGAGAGTTCCATTCCTTCTTGTCAGTACTTCATCTATATTTCGGGGGCTTTCACTTTTATGCACTTTCATATGATTGTCCTTTTTTCGCATGGTTGGGAAGTGATCAGGTTTCTCTTTTGCAATAGATGGAATGCTTCCTTTTGCATTGTCTTTTTCAGATCCTAATTCTCTCGGATATGCATTTTGGTCGGAGTTTCCATTCTTTGAATTCCTCATATGGATCTTCAACTTAGTTGAACTTCCATATCCACTAAGTTCTTCCTGGTTTTTGCTTTTGGGCAGCCATTTCAATGGCCGTTCACCCTTAACTTCTGTAGAACTTCTTTTATTATGTATTTCTTGGTTTCCATAGTGCTGCGTCATTTGCAAACCAATAGCATCATGCATTGATTGTGATGGATCCTTGGGTTCTGCTTCAATTCCTTTCTGTTTTATGAACTTGACCTTTTGTTTTGCATGTTGCTGCTCTTTATTTTCTGCTTGATTCTTATCTTCTTGAAGCTCAGATGTTGGTTGGGTTTGCTGTTGATGCATTCCATGATCATACTGGGGCTTTTTTGGATTGCTTGGAGGAATTCTGTTTCCATTTCTTTTTTCTTCTCGAAGACTGCTTTCCTTGCCTCTGATTTTATTCACAGCTTCCAAAGTTTTATGTTTCTGGACATCATCCTTTTGGAC